GGGGGGGGGGGGGGGGGGGGGGGGGCCGGGTAAATTGCTTTTTGAACAGGGTCGGACGGTGCGCAGACCAGGATTGCGGCTGCGTGCTGTGGGAGCGCGGAGTGGAACACTGCGAGTGCGAGGCTCGGGATCGGGTTGTAGCGCGGGGAAAGTGGGCGGGTTGGAGGCGCGGTTGGAGCGGCTAATCTCGAGCACCTGGACATCTCGGCGTTCAAGTAGCGCCGATGGCCTGCCTCCACTCTGCAGAGCCGAATGCGAGCCAGCGACATGCCGCCTTGCTATCTTGTTCGCTGCCGGCTTTCCCTTTCGACTTCGACATCATCGCAACAGGAGCATCCCTTCAAACACCTGCAAATAGTAGCCAACCATGTCGGCCAGAGCTCTGCCCCAGAAGATCGAGGTAAGCTCTCGTCCCAGCTAACGCGAAATGTTAGAGAGGCGCCACTGACGAAGGTTGCCGTCGTTGGCAGATCAACTCGGATATGGGCGAGGCGTTCGGACGGTGGCAGCTGGGCCCGGACGAGGAGCTGATGAAGTACATCGATGTGGCCAACGTGGCGTGCGGCTTCCATGCGTCGGACCCAGTGACGTTGCACAAGAGTGAGTGCCAACTAGGTGCAAGTCGTTCGCATCGCACACTGCGCCGACAGAATGCTGACAGGGCCCTATCTTCGACAGCCGTCAAGCTCGCTAAAAAGTACAATGTCGCCGTCGGTGCTCATCCTGGCTTTCCCGACCTGGCTGGATTCGGTGAGTCGATATCTTATCGCTCTCGACGCTCATGGCGTTATGCTAACCGTGCACCTCATCTTTACGCGCTCGATGTTTCAGGTCGTCGACGCATGGAGCTATCAGAGGAAGAGGTGGCGGATATCATCACCTACCAGATCGGAGCGCTCAAAGCCTTCTGCGACCTGGAGGGAGTTCCTCTGAACCACGTCAAGGTAAGCTGGGGTCGTTTCTTCGGTTTGTAGTTGCTATCGCCGCTGACACGCCAGCACGACTCGCAATTGTCGATCACGATCTGCCCTAACGTATCTGCAGCCGCATGGAGCGCTATACTTTTACCTCAAGAACTCGCGCAGCCACTGCGAGGCGGCCTACAAGGCAATCAAGCCACTAGGTGTTCCAGTTTGTAAGTCGCAAGAAGTGATGTCCGTTGGGTGTTGTCCAGTTGATCGGCAAGGCTGATGCGCTTTCTGTTGGTTGGCAGACGGATTGGGTGGAACGCTGCACGAGGAGGTGGCCAAGGAGCTGGACATAGCGTTTGTGCCGGAGCTGTTTGTGGACATCGAGTACAGCAAGGAGGGCGCTCTCATTCCTCCTGCGCAGAGCAAGAAGATCACGCCGCAGGAGAGCGCCGAGCGTGCGCGGAAGGTGGCCGAGACGGGCCACAACTATGCGCAGGGCGGCGGTGAAGTCAACATGCCCGAGTTTGGCCATGCCGGCAATGGAGGCAAGTGCAAGCCGTTTTCGATTTGCATCCACAGCGATCTGCCCGGTGCGGAAAGCACAGCAGCAGAGTAAGTGCGCCGAAGAGAGCAAGTGCGCTGGTCCATTCTGGCGACAGGTGCTGACCGTTTTGCCCCTTTGCCCCTTTGCTCCTTCAACAGGACTCGAAAGACGGTGGACGAGCTCAACGCCAAATTGTTCCCTGGTGCTTAGCGAGCCGAATATAGGTGCGCATTCGTTGCAGCTGAAGGTACAATGGCATGTGTGAATGAACTTTGGAGGAAGACTCGAGTGATGAGAGCTGATGGTGAAGTGCGGGAGGTGTGATGCGAGCAGCATTTTGAACTGCGCTTTGATTTGTTAGGTCTAGATGGAGCGAGCCTACCTGCGCCCAAAAATAGGGTGTTTGATCGACCGGTGCGGCAGCCATCATGGGTGGGAGGCTGCAGCGAGCGATCAGGAGGCCGTGGCGCGTGTTGCAGTGTGAATTCAAAGCGTGACTTGAGGCGCAGGCAAGCTGGCCAAAGGGGCACTTGAATTCCGTTTGAAATGCGCGGCGAAGCGCGTTGGCTTGGTTGCTGGTTGGTCGCGAGCCAGGTCCGCATTTCTGTGTGCATGCAAGGCGCGTATGCGTGAGGCTGCCGTTTCCCAAAAGAACGTTCGGAGGTGCCGAGCGTGGCTTTGCTGCCGTACGGCTTGGGCCTGGCTAGTCGGCCATCTGCGTCGCCGCACTCTGACAGTCACGCGCGCTCTTGCGAGTGACAGCCTCGGATCGTCCGAAGAAGGCAAACGCATCGATGAGGACAGAGCATGAGAGAGTGTGTGTGTATGTTGGTGCTAGGGCCGCTGCTCAGTGCAGCGGAAGAGCGTCGACGGTGCCAACCGAGGGGCGAGGGCGAGCGGGCGGGAGGGCGCGCTGTTTGCGTGGAATTTCCAAGCTGGACGCGGCGTGCGGTGTCTCAGGTCAGTGCGCCTGGCAACACAGTCGGTGGGCGGCTGCGAAGTTGGGCTGGCGGATCG